CCGGAAGTGGCGCTGTGGCTCAAGTGGTAGAGTGCTAGCCTTGAGCTGAAGAGCTGAGGGACAGCGCCCAGGCCCAGAGTTCAGGCCCCACGACCGGACCAAAAAAATAAAAACAGTAAAAAATAAAAAAATAAAAAAGTATTATGACCAAGTTAGGAAATTCTTGCTATGCTAAACATCCAGATTGTTTAAATATCTGTTATGTTCTAAACAAGATATACTAATGATTAAATACTTTCAACTAGTACATGATTAGAATCCGTAACTAGTGGTCCTATCATTGCCTAAATTTTAAGAAATGCAATCTTAGGTATGGACAATAACTGACTTGCTTTGAATTTCACAAATTATATACCCTAGTTCCAAAAACAAAATACAATGCCTAGAACCACAAATACAGATCAACAAAGTAGGCAGGGTTGACAATGTGGCTTAGTGGCAGAGCACTTATGCATACATGAAACCCTGGGTTTAATTCCTCAGTACCACATAAACAAGCAGCTTGGACAGTGCGCAGACCGAGTTCAAGCCTCAGGACTGGGGGGGAAGGGGGGAGAGACACACAAAAAAAAACCTAGCCAAACATTCCTAAATAGGCAATCATAAATCTTAAGGGAATGTCAGAAACAAATGTATTGGCATAATCAGTATGTATCATATGGGACCGAAACATTTTGTCATCATTCATTCCCGTACATAATACCCCAAAACTACAGGGTTAGCCAGGTAGAAGCAAACCAATTTTCATCACCTCCTAATATGACAGGAGTGCTTTTATTTTATCCTCACAATTCTGCAGACACTCTTCCACCCATTTTACAGATCAAAGCAAGTAGGGTGACTTTTTGCCAAGGTACATAAGCCTCAGACTTACACACTAGTCTGTCACTGTATGCTTTATTGAAAGGTTAGCCTAGATACTCTGTTCATAACAAATTATGCTCCAGAGCGTACAACCTAAAGCCAGCAAACTGGAATTTAACAGGAGACCTAAGTTTCATGAAAATGGGCTTTTCAAGGAAAGAAAGTCCATCACCAGCCACAAATCACATCTGGTGACATGATACACCACCACACTATGCCACTGTGGGTCAAGCAGTTCACAGTACACTCTGATGCAGTTTGGGGTCTCACCTGCCACTTTTTGACCATAGAGCACATTTTGTCTCGGGTGAGATCCATGCCATGGAAGTTGGTCAGACAGTTCTTGCCCTGAACGTCCTCAGTAATTAGCTTGAATTTTCTAAACGCGACTTCATCATTCTGCAGATCAGCAAGGCTCACTTCAAACACCCGACCCTTGAGGCCATCAGATGCGATTTCTACAAAACACATGTTCACGCATTATCATTTGAGAGTAAAACACAAGTTAATGGCAGAACTGGATCCAGTTAATGGAAAATTGTAAAGACTTAACCTTGATTACCAAAACCATTCAGACACTGAAGACTTATTGGCAGTATGTACCCGCTATCCATTTCCTTAGCAAACTGTCATGGCTGCTCTTAATTCTCCAAGCTCAGTGTAGAAAAGACAAGCACCACAGATGACAAACACAAACCCAAATCAGCTGATGCCCACCACCACCACCACAGGATGCATTCTATAATATAACCCACCTGCCCCAAAGTAAGAGAAACATTAGGTGTAAAGATACTCACTGGTTCCTTGAGTCCTCGTGACTAGTGTTTTCCCAATATTCCTTATATTGAACATGGCTGGTGCTTTCACATCATACCAATCCTTCTTAGAAAATGGATCAACCCTGGAGTGAGAGAAAGAAAGTGTCTCGTGTCACTGAAAACCGCGCTAAGTAGTGCCCCTCTCCAGCAAGACTCTAAGAAGCTAACTTGGCCTCTGCGTCCCGGAGAGGAGAGGGGCTCCGAGGTGAGCCAGCTCTGGCCACGGTCTCCCAACACTGAGGACGAAGGCGGCGTCCCACCCCGGCGGTCCTCCGCTTACGATCAGACCCGTCGGCGGCTCACGCGGGGCGGCTGCGAGGCCCCGGGTTCCCGACACGGGGGTGCCGATCGCGGACGGCGACTTCCCGGTTTACGACGCCGGGGTGCGGGGGGGTCCCGCAGCCCGACTCACACGCCGCGCCGTCCCGGGTAAGTTTGGGTAGCCGAGCCGCCGACAGGCCGCGGTCCGGGCGCCCCGCTCAGCTCCGGTCCGCTCAATCCGACTCGCATCCCCGCCATCCGGCTCGCCACGAGACCTGGAACCCGCCCGCTGTCTCCACCAGGACCCCAAGGAGCGGGGGTCCACGAAAGCCCCCACTTACACTTTCTTCTTGGCTCCCTTTTTGCCGCCTTTTGTAAGGCGCTTGTTCTTGCCTACCGCCATGGTGCCGGTCAGAGAGCCAAAAGGGCGGAAGTGCAACTCGCGCGAGAACTTAGGCGTAAGGGGCGGGGCGCGCCGCGTACGTGGTGATCCCGACTCCTTCGCCTTTCCGCTTTCAAAGCTCTCGCGACAATAGACGGAGACGTCTTCCGACTAGTGTAGCTGAGACAGCGCCCCCGTGCGTGCGGAGGCCGCGCTGCGTGGACGCGGGCGCTGGAGCGGCGCGCACCTGTGCTTCCGCATCTCTGAAGGCCACGCCCTCTGCATCTCATTTAAAGCTGAGCTGGACAGGTGATTCCGAGCTGCTTCTTGAACAGGCCTTGAGCTTGGAAGTCAGGCAGCAGATCCAAGTCCAGATCTGCTCTCCACAGCCCTAGCCCTCCTAAGTTACAGGGCGGCCCTGATACCATCCGCCTCCTAAGCTTGTCTGTGGGCTTGAACGGCGGCGGGGAGGTTCGGCTTGGTGAGGCCTTGCTGGTTGGTCTCCGGGATGCGGGGGTCTCCCGGGCACTTGCCTGGCCCTGCATTCCTTCCACTTCCAGTGGGGGGGGGGGGATCAAAGGGCGATGGGTAAGGAATCTGCAAAGTTCGATTTTTATAACTAACCTTTTTTTTTGCCCAAGGCTGGTGCTCTACCACTTAGGCCACACTAACACTTGCTGAAGTTTGCTGGTTAATTGTAAACAAGAGTCATGAGTTTGTCCAATTTCGTTCTTAACTGTAGGGATTTTTGTCTTTGTTTTCCTTTATTAGCTCTGTGTGTGTGTATGTGTATGTGTCTTGGGGCTTTGACTCAGGGCCTTGACTGCTTGTGTGTGTGTGTCTGTGTCTGTCTGTCTTGGGGCTTTGACTCAGGGCCTTGACTGCTATCCCTGAGCCTTCTTTTGTTCAAAGTTAACACTCTACCACTGGAGCTCCACTTCTGGCTTTTTTAGTAGTTTAGTGGAGATAAGAGTCTCACAGAAGACTTTCCTGACCCAGCTGGCTTCCAACCACAATCCTCAGATGGCAGGCTCTTGAGTAGCTAGAATGAGAGGTGTGAGTGACCAGTGCCAAGCTCCTTAGCTTACTTTTGACTGGCATACACTATGTAACTAACTCAGTGGCCTGGAAGGGTCCCTCTTCCTGCCTCAGCTTTCTGAGTGTTGGGATTACAGGTATGTACCCCACCCCCTCTTATGTGTAAGGGTTAATGAAGCATATCTTGGTACTAGCTCAGAGGGAAGCTCTGGAAAGCTGGTGGCCTCTGTGGCTTGGTACCCAGGCGCTGGACTTCTCACTTCCCTCCTCTCACTTCCCTCCTCAACTTCCCTCTGGGCAAAAGAAAAGAAACAGCACAATCTGTGTCCAATCCAGAAACCAGCTCTTGCTCACACAGTTCCAAACAAGCCTTACAAAAAAAATTTAATATCACAACCTTAATTGTGGTCTAGAATAAAATGAATAAAACTGCTTATCCAGAAAGTGACAAAATGTCTCATTTCCAGCCATTTCCAGACTGATTATATAGATAAGGTTGAAGGCTCAGCTCGGCTGATAGAGTACCAGCCAATGAATGAAAGTGCCAGGTACTGAGTACACCCCCACCCAAAAAAAAAGATGACAAATATAAAAAAATGGCTTAAAATAAATACAAGATAGGCAAAGATCATACAGCTAAAGAGCTGTGGTAGGCTCCACGAGGGAAAAAAATCTCAAAAGTACCCAAAGTGGCAGCAAAGAATATTCGTCTGGGTTGTTTGTTTTGTGCGGTTTTTTTGTGCCAGTCCTGAGTCTTAAACTCATTATATAGCTAAGGCTGGTCTCTAGCTTGTGATCCTCCAGCCTCAGCCTCCTGCATGCTGGGATTACAAGTGGGCGCCATTGCATATGGACTTCTTTTTGGTTAAACAGGGCATTGGTGATGTCTGCTTGCTTAGTTTTCCCTAAGACAAACTGCAGCAGCTGTCCTTCATTGATCATCTACTAAGGGAATCAAACCTGCATCATTTGCTATTCGCTCACAATTACTTTTATAACCCTGTGGAATATTACTTCTATCCCTTTTATGGATGAGTAAAGCGAGGCCCGGAGAGATTGAGAAATTTGCTCTGAAGGGTGAGGAGGGTTGAACTTTACACCTGACTCCAAAGCCTGGCTGCTGAGAAGAAAAAAATAAATACAAAGCTGCAAGTGGTGAGGTGTGTCCCAAATTCCAGCACTGGGGAGACTGAGGCAGGAGGAAGCTGAGTTGGAGGCTGGTCTTGGCTACATGGTATGACCCTGTCTCAAAACAAACAACAGAAGAAAGCAAAGTTCAAACTGAGAAGCACAATGCTCTTGTTCCCCTAACCAGGCCTTCCTCCATACACTTTAAGCTTATTATAGATGGACTGCATTTAGTATGACCACTGGAAACTTGGCTTTCTGGAAATTTAGACGTATTAATTTTAATCAGTCATTTGGACACTCACAAAATTACACACATTTTTATATATCAGATATGTATTTATATATATACATATGTATATATATATATATGCATATATATGGATGTTGAGCTTGAGAGGGAAAAGAATAAAATCATAGAGCAAAGTCACTTCTGAAGTAGACAGGGCCTCCACCAAAACTGTGGGTCTTTATTGTGATAAGTATGGAAGCCTGGAGGGCGCGAATGGGGGCCGAGGCCTCTGGACGCCACTCCTCTGTGCGATGGGCTTCCTGGAAGGAACAGAAGAGCAGAAGAGCAGAGCCCGCACCAGCGCCACTGAGGGGATGAGTCTTGTCTGAATAAAAGATCGGCTAGGTTCAGGTTTCTCTTTTCCATTTCTCACATTACTGTTGAGCCTCTCTCGCTCTCCAGAAAGCTTGTGTACGCGTTTCAACCAGACTCAGCTGAGCTGAGAGAGTGAGGAGTCTCCCCTCGACGGGGCAGTGGCTTCCGGGGAGGCCATGCTGGTGGCAGAGGCGGTGGAGCTGTGGGCGTGTCCTCCGGGAGGGAGGGCGCTTCTCCCCACTGTCCTTCACCTTTCCCTCCCCTTCCCTCCACTTCCAGACAGGAGCCAGGCCCTGCGTATCTGCTTATCTTAGTGTGGCACAAACTGCCAGTCAGACCTCTCGTGGGTCCTGGGATCCATTTTCCGATTGTCACCAGCACTTTGGTTTTCTTCCCCAGCTCTCACTAGACAGCCCCCCACCCGCCTCCTGCGTGCTGCCATCACAGGGTGCTCTCGTGTTTAAATGAAATGCAACGGAATCTATATGATGACATGGAAAGTTTAATTATTGCGCAATTCTTTCAGCGTTTAAGAACATTACTCTGTGTGTGTGTGTTTATGCGCTGGACCACTGCATAGCGTCCTACCACCAGCACAGCGCCATTTCCAGCTTTAAAAACTTTTTTTTGGTGGGGGCTGGGAAGGTGGCTCAGTGGTAGAGCGCTTGCCTTGCAATGCATGAGGCCCTGGGTTCGATTCCTCAGCACCACATAAGAAAAAAGCTGGAAGTGGTGCTGTGGCTCAAGTGGTAGAGTGCTAGCCTTAAGCTAAAGAGCTGAGGGATATCGCCCAGGCCTAGAATTCAAGACCCACGACTGACAAAAAGAAAAAGTGCAAAAATATCACCTAGTATCTCTTTACTGATAGCATTCAGTAATCACTAGCTGAAAGTTAGCAAGGTGTTGGTGGCTCACGCCTGTAATCCTAGCTACACTGAAGGCTGAGATAGAATTTCCAAGTCAGCCTAGGCAGTAATGTCCACAAGACTCCATCTCCAAAATAACCAGCAAGAGCTGGGCTGGTGGTGTGGTTCAAGTGGTAGAGTACTGGTTAAACAAGCAAAAGCTGAGCATGCTTGAGGCACAGAGTTCAAGCCCTCATATGAAAAAAAAAAAAGTAAAAGCAGATGTTGTAAAGTCCACTCCTGGATTGCTAGCAGACTCCACCCGCCTCACAGCAAAGTCTCCACCCAGTACTGTGTTACCTAGGTAACTGGCACACCTGGAAGAGGTCACATCTGCATCCGGTGAGGTTACGTCTGAATTTGATGCGGCCACACCTTTCTCCGCCCATACCCTAGATAAAGCCTAGCCCAGGCCCAGACGCTCTCTCTGCTCTTTTCTAGCTCTTTCTCAGCTCTCTTCTCTTTCCTAGCTTGCTCTTTCCCACCTTTCCCAGATGCTCTTTTCTAGCTCTTTTCTCTCTTTTCTAGCTCTTTTCTCTCCTTCCCAGCTCTCTCTTTCCCAGCTCTCTTTCCCAGGCCTTCCCCCACCGTGTGGAGGACCAAGATGGCCTGGTGCCACCTGGAACAATAAATAAACCTATCTCTTACCTGAATACCACGTGGGTGGTGCTGTTCTTACTCTTTTTAAAAACCTATCTCTTTTTAAAAACCTAACAGATGTTATCAAGTATAGTTAACTAGTTAACACGCTGACATTTATTCCATGTAGACAACTGGTATAAACCAAGGGCAATCTCTTTGTGTGTGTGTGTGTGTGTGTGTGTGTGTGTGTGTGTGTGTGTGTGTAGACAACTGGTATAAACCAATCAAGGGCAATCTCTTTGTGTGTGTGTGTGTGTGTGTGTGTGTGTGTGTGTAGGTC